ATCAACGCCTGGAACTCCTGGCTGTCTTCACTACACGGCACAATCTGCACCTCGCAGCCCGTTCTTTGCAGTATTTCCAACTGATTCTGATGGAAGTCTCCCTTAAAAGACGCCCGCGAGTGGTTTGGAAGTCGGACAATTTCCTCTCGTCTGATAAGACTCTCGGAGCCAGCTACGGCGGACCGATCGAGCAAGTCGAGCGTTTTCGTGAAGCAAACCTCTGCTGATGGACCGCGTTTGCCTCGTTCTCTCTTTGCCAAGAGTTCTGCCCGTTTCACATGGTCGTGGTAGTTTTTTTGCATCTTCTCTGCCGTGCGGGTCCAGTACGACTTTGACAGGCCTTCCCCCCATTGGAATTCAAAAGAGTCTGGCGGAGAGTCGCCTGCTATTTGTCTGCTTTTGACCGTCTTCTCCAGTGTCTCGCTTTGGTCCGCTCTGGCGCCATCCGTTGCGGCTGAAACCGGCATTTCCAGGGACGACCATTCCCCATCCGGTCCATGCGCACCGCTCTCCGCATTCTCAGCGCTTGAAACGCGACGGGCCTCGCTCAGGGCTGTGCTCGAGCAATTTGAACGTTCAACAGCGGACCGTCCAATAATGGGCTGTGGGCGCAAAAAGGGCGAGAAAGATTGGGTCATTCGCAGGAATGGCGCTCGAAATACACCGGGTTGGAGCATGAACTGTCCGGCCTCATCCCACAATCACCAAAACTTTGCGACGGGCGACGGGATGGAGTTGGACGGACGAATTCCGCGGTTGGCCTGACAGGGGCTAGCGTGAAGCGCGAGCTAAATCAGGACTAGTGCAATTAAGCGCGTGTCGCGTTCCGGCGCGTCCGGCGCGTCCGGCGCGTCCAACGTTTCTCTCTGCCACACCCCCGCAACCTCCCACCGCCCTCACGCTGCACTGAATGGACTGGTAGACTATACCACTATCTGCAGTGCTCTCTCTCTTACGGCATTCTGCCATGGCCGAACTGGTGTCTCCACGGGCCAAAGTGGCCAAGATGCTGGCCGACATTGACAACGCGCCTTCGCCTTCGCCTCCGCCTTCAAGTCAAAGTCCGGGCGAGAAGGTCACGGAAATGCCGGTTCTGGAATCTATTGAACTGACAAATCAATCAAACGAAGACTCTGACGTGTCGGATGTCCTGGTCCCGCGAGCCAAAGCGACCAAAGAACGTGGATTACTCGGTCTGAACCGCCGGAACCGCAAGATATCGTCTCCCAGCCCTAGTCCGGCGCCGTCTCTGGGTCCAGGAACGCCGTTTTACAACTCAACGCCGCAATCCGTAGGCCTATTCGTGAGTCCGACAAAGTCGGCAGGAGACAACAGCGAGAATGAGTTACCAGCCAATCCGTTTGGCAGCAAGGAGAAGCTGGCCGAACTGCTTGCTCAGAAGCGCGAGAAGCGCCAGAAACACCAGGCCCAGGAGCTCCGGAAGCGTCAGGAACGGCGACAGAACCGCAGACAACGTGAATCGTCCGAAGAGGAAGAAGTTTCTGTAGAGTCTCAGGATTCCCATGTTGAGAAAATCATGTCTGATGCCGCCCGGCCGACGCGGAAGGCCAGTAAGAAGGCTCTGTTGGAGATGGAGCGTGAAACCCAGCGACTCTCACGGCAGCAGGCTTTGGCCCACCAGATGAAAGTCCGCAAGAAGTTCACAACTGCCGATCTCTTGGCCCGTTTTGATGTCAACAAGAGGCGCAACATTGCCCCTTCCCATACCTCTGCTGGCCCGGCGCCTGATTCGTCGTCCTTTGCTCATAGTGATGGCACGGTGCCCGTTAGTACTCCGCCCTCCAGCCCTCCCACTGCAGGACCCACGCCTCTGCAGAAGCAGCGGGAACTCGTGGAGCAGGGAGAGCTCAGTAAGCTGGTGACCGTCTCCGAAGACTGGCTGGCCAACTCGGGCAACGTGCACTCGGGCGATGAGCTGCCGGACTTGGAGGACGTCTTCAGTTCTGCCCGTGGACGCAAGACTTCCCGCTCCAAGTTGGGCATCTTTGGCCCCAAACTGTCCAAGCCACAGCCGTGGAAGCTGCAACAAACACACCCTGACAGCGATGATGATCTTGAAATCGTCGTCCCTCTTCCTCCTCACTTGCAGGCCCTGGATAAAGCAACTTTCCAACGAGTACACAAGAAGAATGTGGCAGATAACAAAGCTGTGCATGTACTCAAACATCTCTCTCGCATCGGCGCCTATGAGGCGCTGCCGTCCAAACAGCACAAGAACTCCCGTCCCATCATCGGGCAAGGTGTGTTGGAGGCCCAGCTGCGGCGGAAGACCAAAGAACAGGCTCTACGACAGCAGCAGGAGCGTATTGCTGAATTGAAAGCCAGGGGGATTGAAGTTGAAACTGACGAGCAGCGAGAACGTCAGGCCGAGGAGTTTGTGGACATGCTGGAAAAGGCCAGACAAGAGGCGCAGGAGCTGAGGAAGATGGAAAAGGCCGCTGCCAAGGCCGCCAAGGGTGGAGATGCCAATGTGGATGTAAGCGATGACGAGGATGAAGATTACGAGGGCTCTGGGAGTGATGAAGACGTGGAGGACAGAGATGAGAATGAGATGGTGGATGAGGAGGCTAATGTGACTGAAGAGAGCGAGGATGAAGAAGAGAATCAGTCCAAAGAGGGCGATGATAATGAAGTTGAAGAGTCCTCTGGGGTCAAAGCAGGTGATGGTGAAGACATCCTACCAGTAAGCCCAGTTGATGAAGTATCTCGGGCTGATCAAGTGGAGGCCGAAACCCCGGCCCCAGTACACCGTCGGGCAAGGCAGTCCAGAGTTATCCAGGACGATGAGGACGAGAATGTCACTCCTGATCAGCCTGCCGACGCCGACCCCTTTGCAGCCTTTGGTTTCGGGGCTCACAATATTTCCAGCGGCCTGATGAGTCCATCGCAGGCGTTCCAAGCCACCATGGCCACCCCAACCCAGGCCACGCAAAATTCTTCTGATATTCGCAGCCGTTGGGCGCCTCCTCTGGCCTCGCTGCCCCCTTCTATGCCTGACCTGTTTACTGCCGCCAAGGGTCAAAGTCAGCTGGGAGTCGTGCCGCAGAGTCAGGAAGAAGAAGAAGAAGAAGAAGAAGAAGAAGAAGAAGAAGCCGTCGGCGCTGAGCCTGCATCGGATATGGACCAACTGCCGGATACGCCTGTACGCATGGCATTTGATCCAGTTGTCAGCCAAACTCCTTGCTGGGAGCCCACGCAGGACGCTGGTCTGCCGACGCCTGTGAAGCCAGCTCCGTTGATGCACGGTCATGGCACACAGGACACTTTACCCTCTCGAATCAGTGCAACGCCTGATCCATCGGCTGTTCCAGCAAAGAAGGGTCGTCTGGTCCGGCGTCGGGCTCAAACTGTCGACAGTAGCGATGATGACGCTGCTACAGCTACTGTGAAGCGTACCAAGCCTGTGGATGCCTTCCAGGAACTCGCTCGACGCCGTGCTGCTGCTCTTACCGCTGCCGAGAAGGCTGAAGTTGAACGGGAGATGAAGCACATGATGGATGAACAGGCCGAGGAGTCAGAAGACGAATACGCCGGACTTGGAGGGGATGATTTCGTAGCACCTGAAACAGAAGAGGACAAGGAGATGATTGATTCTTCACACGTAGACGTCAACGAGCGCGAGTTGGCTGCCCATTTCGCCGAGCAGGAGCGGCGCAGAAACGAAGAAGAGACCAAACGACTCTACAAAGACCTGACTACCGGCGCCCTGCGTCGCAAACATGCAAACACATGGGGTCTGGAAGAAGACGACGACGACATCGCCCACCGACGTCGTCAGATGAGGCTGAAAGAGGAAGAGCGGAAACGTAAACTCCTCCTTCAAGACACCAACATTGCCGATCTCGCCCAAGGGAAGCCTACAAAGGGCAAAGACGCCTTCCTCCGCGCCATTGCCGATGACGACGATGACGTCGTCTACAATCTATCCGACGGCGAGGACGATTCCCAACAGCCCATCTCCCTCGACTCAATCCAATCCCAATCCCAGCCCCTACAGGAAGTGAGCGGCAATAAGAGGTCGCTTGAGGCCGACGGGGAGGGCGATATTGACCTCCCACCAACCAAACGACCCAGTCTTTTCCGTAAACCCTCCTCCCTTTCCGAAGTCAAAGAAAGCGTCAGTTTCCTCTTAGCAGAACCAGACACCACCCTCGCCGCACCTACTATAAACTCTGACCCAGACACCACGCTATTTACCCCTTTCGACGAATTGGAACTGGAACATTCTCTCTCCAACGACGGCGGCTATGCACCAGATCCAAATCTCATGCCCCCACCCCCCCTCCCACGACGTAACACCGCCCCAACCAAAGCAGCAGTAATAGACCGCCTTTCCCTCAAGCGAAAAGCAAGTAACCCCCAACCCCTCCGTCCAGCCGCATGGTCTACATCCTCCTCTTCCTCGCTCTCAAACCCAAAACCCTCCCTCCTTCGCCGCGCCACGACTGCGGGGATGACCAACGACCGAGGGGTCAGTACTTCGAACGGATTCCCCTCCCGCAAAGAGGCGGTAAAAATGGGTGGAAGCAAGAAATCTAGTCTCGCGTATCAGGCGAGAATGGAGGAGAAGCGGGCGATTGTGGAGGCTGGTAAAAAGAAAATGGAGGAGGAGCAGAGGGAACGCTTTGCTAAAGTAAGGGGGGGGAGTGGTTTGACTAGACTTGGGGGACAATTTGGCTGTTAGAAGTTTTTTTAGGTTTTTTATCAGATTCGAATTCTTCTTACCATGTCGATTGCACGTTTTTCCGTTGTTGGGTGGTGAAAATCCAGCCGAGGAGAGATAGGTCAGTTTATCGAAAGAGTTTGAATGTCATTAGCACAAAAGGAAGTATAATCATATAGATATGAGAGTGAGGGTAACACGCCGCGCCAAGAAGTCCTTGTTTTGCGGAGATCTACCACGGGAACATAGAGAAGTGATGCCCCGATGGGATTTTCCATATAGAAATGACAATTGGATAAGGGTGATGTCATGAAGAGGTTCCATAGTGTAGCGGTCAGCACGTCGGATTCTGAGAATTGCAAACGCCTTCCGGAGACCCCGGTTCGATTCCGGGTGGGACCTTTTTTTTCGTGTTACATCGTTGCGGGATGGTGGACGAGGTTACCATATTGGGGGGTGGGGGGGGGTGGGGGGGTCCCCGCTTCTTTAAGGATTTACACGCGCCTTTTTTTTAACTGCATTAGACGGGATATTCACTGGTTTGTTGAGGATGGAGTCTTCGTGAATGGTGGAAAAGCAGAGAAAACTTTGCTGAGGTAGAGATGGAGGGACAGAAGGAGGGCTTTTAGGGTGGCTAGGTGCGTTAGGTATGAGGACCGTTAGCCAATCATGCGGGCATGCCCGACAACGAACGATTTTCAATTAGTTCACGCGACGGGTGGATTCAAGTTGTTGGCGCTCACGCGATGATGATAGGTGCTCCGCCTCTGACGTGTCTTCCACTTGGAAAAATTTCATGAAAATCGTCTCAACGATTGGGGATGAAAGTCATCTAGATTTCCTGCCCGACATCCGTGCTGCAAAGACATACCAACCGCCCATTTCAATCGACACATGAGGCTCACACCAAGACATTTCCCACATTTCAAAAGAAACCCATCAAGATCTAAACGCCGTATCGAAGACTACGACAATCCCTGCTCAGCGGCCCTCACTCCTCCCTCCTCCTCTTCCTCGTCGCACGCATCTCCTCCCTCTTAAACGCCTCCGCCCTCCTACGCAAAAATCTAATCCTAAACGGGACTTGTCTACTCATCTTCTCATTCCTCATACTCTCCCGTTCAAGACTGTTATTTTGGGGAAGTCTTCTATCCCTACTATAAGTCCTTAGAGCGGCAACAGCGCCCGGACCTGCAAGCGGCGAGGACGCGCGAGCGGGCCGCTTGTCAACCGCTTCCGCAGCCGCAGCGAGGACATCCAGGCCAGATTGCGTGAGGACTCGGAACGAGGAGAGAGGATGCTGGCCTTCTGGTAGGGCTGGTAGCGTAGGGTTGACTACGGCGAGTCTGATGACGATGTCTGTGGTTAGGAGCTTCCGCGGGTGGGGTAGATCGTCTGGCTCCATAGGCATGTCAGCGAGTACGTCATCTTCGATGGCTTCTGGATCGCGTTGTAGAAGCTGGACTGCGAGGTCGATTTTTTTGCGCACAGAGAGGGGGGGGTCGAGGGTGTTTACCGCTTCCATTGAGAGGAGGCGTATGACGATTAATTCTTTTTGGAGACCTTCTTCGACGGAGGGCTCAAACACTAACCCGGAGCTTCGTTGGCTCATCAATGTGTCGAAGAAGATGATGGAGTCTGCTAAGAGGTAGACGCGTTGGGCGAGGATGTGGTGTTCTGCGGAGGGCACGACGCAACATTGGCTCGGACGGGTGTCGTTTTTGAAGTTTTGGACTTCTTCGTTCAGTTCGTGTGGCTTTGTTGTGTTCAAGACGCGCATGTGTGGGATTCTGCGGTGTTCGAGGAGAGTATCGATCGCTTCGCACTTCTCGCTGACGATGAGGGGACGGAGGCCAATTTCATTGAGGTGGGTTAATGCGAGGATGAGTATAGCTAGCTTTGCGGCGATTGTAACCAGCTGGTCGCGTGTCTCTTCTTCTTGGTTGCAGAAGAAGGTATGGCAGCGATGGATGCATGCGTCTGGGATGTTTACGTGCTTTACATTCGTTGACAGCTCGTCTGATAACTGCACGTCTGCTATCGTTCGTGCGAGGAAACGTGGGAGCAGCATCCTCTTGACTTCTTCCACGCTTAAATCACAGCTGGGCGCATAGTCCGGCATGATGAAGTCTTTCAGATTCGCAAGCCCTTCAGACGTAATCTCTTCCGGAATATCCGTTACCAAGAGGAGGAAGAAATGATTCAGACGATCAAAGTCGATGAAATAATTCGTATCCGGATGAAAGAGGAGATGCGCCTCATCAACCACCACAACCTCCCACACAAACCTGTTCAGTAACTCCATATCCTCAATCGCATGTTCGCAAGTAGTCAACAGCACATCGCATGTCGCCGACTTGGACGGATGTTCTCTACTAAAGTGACGGTCGATAATGCTCTGTCGGTTTTCTTTCTTCCCAACCGGCATGATACATCTGACACCCTGTATCTTCTCTATTAGGGTGGTTCGCCAGGATGAAATTCGTCGCTTCGGGACCACGAAGAGACACGTTCCCCGTAAAATACGTTTGGTTAAGATCCATTTGAAGAATGCTGTGACTAGTTTTGGGGTTTCAAGTCCGTTTTCATCCGCAAGGACCATGTGGTTGCCGCGGAGATAGTGTTGGAGTATGAATGAAAGCCCGTCCTGGTGGTATGGCTCCAGGTTGGAGTCCATGGGTTGGTCCATTGTTTGTTAGTGATGGATATTGGCGGTTTTCTTGGTGTTCGGAGGTTGGGTAGTAATTATGTCTGGCGAGCTGGTGCGGCGGCATGTCATACCCCGCTAGTTACTTCCTGGGAGTTACGTAGTCAGCAATCCATTCACTCAGCTGCGCGTGGATCATGGCACGGATTCACCCGGCTTTCTCCATCCCTTAGCAATAGATGCTACTACCATAAGTGAGCTAGCCGCCAACGAACCTCACCAAATCACCCATCACCCGTTGAGGTGTATCACGTGATGCCTGACTGATGACACCTTGATTCACTTCTATAGTATCATCAATATATAACTATGAATATACACCTTCACCCCATTCTATTCTTTTCACCTAGTATTCCCTCCAACTTCGCCCCACAAAACCCAATCTCGTGGCCAGCCTCAGTAGCGAAGTAAACTTTCAATTTCTAGGACATGGGCTGATATCCACCAATGCACCGAGGAAAATGAGCACAGAGGGATACGCCAAGCTGAAGATGATGACCTCTTTCCAGGGTCGTCTATAGACTGCTGACTATGGGCATCTGACAAAGCAGTGCTGTGCATTGCTGTATCAAACAATTAATGCTGTCTCAAAGGATCAGCCGGAAACAAGCTGTCAATAGATTCTCTTTTCCCGAAGGTGTAATAATTTCTCCTCCCAATATCATCGAACTAAACCGCATGCGTAGACCAGAGGGAAGGCTCATCTACCCCCGAAACCTTTTGCCTCCACCTTAAGCGAAATGTTCCCGTTTCCTTGTCACCTCCATCGCCAGGGGAATTCAATCAATCGCCCGGGCCAAGCTAGCAGCAACCTCTACGAATTCTCCAGCACCTCCCTCATGAGACCTTTGCTCGGACCAATCAACAAATGATTTAGCTGAGCGCAAGTATCGAACCTCCTTAGCCAAAGATCCATTAAGCTAGGATCAGACAGCGTGCTCCAATGCATCACTCCGTCGCCATCTCAGCAAGCTCAGTGTCGTATCTCTCCACCGCTATTAAAACCATCCGTCTTAGTCATGTGCAGCTTCAAAAGCCAACAGATTGTGCGGGGAGGATCATGGAGCAGGCTAAGTTCTGCAGGAACCTGCAGGTTTCAGAAAACCTTGCTGGGATACTGTTCGCCATATGGTCCAGCAATCTAGCTGTCGGTATGAGGTCTCCAAGGTGATCATTTCCTCTCATCCTCTAATCCGTCAATATAACCCCCCTGAGCCTTTTCAGCCCGCTTATCAAAATGAGATCCGGCCAGCGCGAACAACAATGCTCTCTTCCTTGGGCGAGTACTCATCAGGCTAGGGTCGGACAGCGTGCTCGAGTGCATCATCCAGACCCATCGCTGCACGACCTTAAATTCTCCACGGCCCTGCTCTGCCCATTTACTGTTTCCAAATGCACGGGGAATGGTCGTGGATCAGGCTAGACTCAGTTGTCTGCAGGTTTTTGGGCAATATGATGCTGAGGTGAAGCGTTGGCACTGCATAATTTGCGCTGCAAGTTGGAAAGCACCCGTGTAAGGCTTCAGAAGGGGATTTTGATGAAGCCTAATGCGTTTAAGACGAGGTTCGTGAGGGGATGCGACAGACTGTACCGCCCGCTCGATCTAAGGCCTGGATTTATTTCCACCTTGAGCGTTTGTTTCCATACCACTTTTGCAAAGGGAGGGGACCATGCACCAGATTGGATTCATTTCCACCGCTGTTGGAGCCATCCTGCTCTCTCAGTACCACTTTTTGCAGGAGAGAGATCATGGACCAGTTTACGTTCAGCGAGTCCAAGCACCAAGACCATTTCGCCTCTGCCCTCTCTATCCTCCATTGATCCATGCATCGGGAAACTGATGATGTTTGAGGGCCCCCCGAGGGACCAGCGCAGACCGCGCCCTCGGTCATGGCGGCCAGATGAAGTTCTCGCTGTCAGGGGAATGGCGGAAGCCAAGAACTGAAAAGATGCACCAGTCTTAGTAAGGTGACACTTCAAAAAGCAGCCTAATTCGATCTGTTCTCCCCACGGCGAGATATTGTGGTGGCAGTGCTCGTAAGCTTTTCCCAGATCGGAATAATTCCGCGAAGATCCGACTGGAAGAGCTTTTTGTTGAAACGGCTTTGATCCATTCTCATTCTCTCGTTATCAATTTTGTCAAGCGTTGGTTTATGGGATTCTGAAGCTGTTTCCACGGTTGGCGCGGAGCTCAAGCGTGTTTGTTCTCGGTGTTATCGCTGTTACGGTGCTCAGAGGAAAAGGTTCAATAAGCCCCAACAACGAGGACAATCCAGACTGCTATCTACTGGGAAGCTAGAATACTATAAACCAATCCAGAAGCGCCGTTCATTCGTGCGTGGTAGCGAGCGTAGCTATGGATAACTAGCAGGGCGCGTCGGTGTATCAAATTCCCTGTGCGCTTAGGCGGCGCGGGTCGTCCCGCGCACACACAGCCTTGCCGTAACAATCGCGGCGTTGGTTGTATCGGCGTTTTGAAACTGTTTTTACAGTTGGCACAGTGGTAAAGCGTTTTTCTCTGCCGTTATATGTCTTGCTAACGTCGGCGCAGGGTTGGTTGTTGCGGCATCTTGTGACTATTTTTACAGTTGGCATATATTTGGAGGTGTCCTTGAACTTGAATCTTCATTCCTAGCCCTATCTGGTCTACTCAAGTTGGGACAGCTCTGTCATGGTCTCGTCAGAACGCCAGGCC